ATCCTAACTTCTCCAAAGCCAAATTAGTCTATCAGCTTAAGGGACATATTGCTTGTCTGGACTGCAACTTCTTCCATGAAATTCTCTTTCATCTTCTGTGTCACTTCTCGGAGTTGCTCATTTTCCTTTGTAAGAGAACCTTTCTGTCCAAGAAGTTCTTGAACAAGATCTTCATATATGTTGCAATTCTTTTTCAGCTTGGTGACCCCTGTGATCCACTCTTTGGGGGGTTTCCTATGCAGCAGTTCGAAAGGCTTGACTGATCTTCTGAAAATCTTCATGCATGGTTTTCATTTCTGTGCTCAATTTCTTGTTTTGGTCGTTCAAGTCCTTCAAATAACATGCTTGAGCTTCATAAAAACCTCCTCTACTCTGAATGCCCTGACTGATACTCTTACCATAGACTGCTTTTGGTATCAATCTGGCAGGATCTTTGTGGAGTACTTTTGGTATTAATATAACAGGATCTCTGTGTGCTTTGCTTACTTCTATCCTCGGAGTTTCCTCAGGATGTCTTTTTTTGGCCGCATCATATTTTGTTTGATCATAAAACTTTTTGTCCATTTACGATTTCTTTCCAATTTGATGAACAGTCTTTCCAGTAAACACCTTTTGGTTATGCAATGATCATGCAATGCAAACAAAAGAAATCAATATGAACAGATTAGAGCAATGTAACATGCATGAAAAAATAAGAAAAAATAGAATAATTAGTACCAACTAAATGAAAAAAATCTATTTATCAAGGTATAAATCTTAACCTCATGCTTTCTAGTTCCATGCTTTGTTTGGAAAATTTAACCTAACCGCATGATTTCTAGTTTGCATGCATTTATTCAGGAAAAAGAAAAGGAAATAAAATAAATTAAAAGCTAGAGCTTATTTCTCCTTTGTGTATACCTACTGATAAAATTTTGGCATGGTTTCAGATCGGGAGAGTTTCTAGGGTTTATTATATGTAGGTTTTCAGTTCTAGGAGTAAAGTTACTCGAACTGTCCTTGTTGATGCCCCCTTGGGCTATCAAACCCTCAATCCTAGTCCATTACAGACTTAAGCGGATCGAGTTCAATTCGAGGGGATACATTTCTCTATGACTGACACGGAGAATAAATTATCACGAAGACATAGAGCATATGAACCCCGAAAGTTACTTGCTAGGTCTAACACGGAGAATAAATTCTCACGAAGACGTCGCTCACGAAGACGTCGCTTTCACTCCCACTTAAAAGGGAGAAACTCAATTATAGAGCTTTATGTTATGCAATGCAAGTGTTGTGTGTGAGGAGAAATGTTCAAACCTCTAACAGACAAATAAAATAATTAATACCTGAATAAAATAAAATAAATATTAATAAAATAATATAAAAATAATAAGTAATAAAAAATTTTAAAGAAAAGAATTAAAAATTAAATAAATGAATTTTTAATTTCTAATTAATAGATACAATTTATAATTAATTTTAAAGTTTGACCATCCCCAGCGGAGTCGCCAAGCTGTCGTAACCGATTTTCGTCCGGGCACGAAATTTTTACTTGGCGGGAAAAGTGGTGTGAATAAATTAATGATTTTGATTTTTAAAAAAAAAAATATTTTGGGAGTCGCCATCGGCCTTTTGGATCAGGTAGGTCGAATACCTAAAAATCATCTTTTAAAAGAGTTTTTAAGAAAACATAGATTAAAAGATAAAATGATATGCGTTTTAACCAAAAATTCATTCTTTTTAATAATAAAAAGGGATTTGTGATCGGTTACGTTTAGGGAAGGATTAACACCCTTACAACGCCCAAAATTGGTACTTTTTAATTATAAATTGTCTCTAATAATATAATTTAAGAATTCAAATATATTTAATTTATAATTCTGTTATTTCGAATTTATTGCTATAATTTTTAAGAAAATCTATTCAAATATAAATAATATATTTATTTATTTAGAAATATCATAAAAGGACTTCTAGGTGCCTTAAGACAGCTCTTTTCTTCGATATTAATAAATAAAAATAAATATTAAAAATGTAATAATTTAAATAAAACTAAATTATAATTTTTATAATGTTTATTTTAAAATAACAGAATAGGACATCCTGTTGTATTAAGACTGACCTTTTCTTTGATATTGAAAATAAATAAACATTATTATTTAAAAAAATATAAGTATATATTTACATGACTAAGATAACAATAATAAAATAATTATGAAAATAATATTTTAAATATATAAAATTAAAATATAAAAAAATAATGAGTAAAATAAATAAAATTAAAACTAAATATAAAAAAATAATAAAAATTTACAATTAAAATTAGTGACTAAATTATAACGTAATAAAATTAAATTCCTAATTAATTATTAATTATTAATTATTTAAAATTTGAGTGACTAAATGCTATCCTTATTTATTAATTTAGTGACTAAACTAAAATTAGAAAATTCATATATCAAATTAAAATAAATTAAAAAACATGCATTCGGGATTAAAAAATTAATTATTAAAATTAAAGGATTAAATCAGTAATTTACCTAAAATATTTATAATTACGGTTAAGGACTAAAATACATATATATAAAATTCGAATACCGATTTAAAAAGATCTAAAATTTGCTTTAGTGACTAAAATGTAAGGATTACAAACTAGGATGGCTGCGGAAAGGGTTTGGCCATGAACAAAATTACAGATATACCCCTCCCAAAACGACGTCGTTTGGGAAGGGGTATTTATACCCGAAACGGCTGGCCGAAGTAACTGAGAGAGCTTAGAAGCTCTCTCAACTCTCTCTTATTTTCCCTCATTGGAGGGAAATCAGAAGGCGACCGGTCTGTATCCGACATCGACTACCGCCGCCGGCCACCGTTAATGGTGGCCAGAAAATTACATATCTACCTCAAATTGAAGCCCGAAATTCCCTAAAGCCAAATCCGAGGATATTTTATCTTAGATCACTACCGAAACGTGTAGATCTAAGGTTCTTTACCTTCGACTTTTTGCTTTCAAAGACGTAGGGAGGCTCCGATGATAGCAGTTTCTTGGTAAGCCTCCTTTCCTCTTCTCCTTCTTTATTTGGTTGCTGTTGGGTGTTGTTGTTGTTTGTTTTCTGTTGTGGTTGTTTTTTTTCGTTTTTTTTTCGTTGCTCTCTCTCCGTTGCTCTGTTTTTTCTTTGCAAGTTCGGTGGTGGCTTTTATAGCCACCACATTGTCTTCTTCGGACCGGATAATAGGGCAAAGTTTGGTGAGTCACCAAACTATAGTGGTGACTCACTCTAGACTTCAACGTGTGCGGCTTCTCTGAGTCTTCTGGAGTCTTCATCGGAGGCGTGGCACTGGTGGAGCGTCGGCAGTGGCGTGGCAGCAGAGGAGGCGCCGCGGGTAGTTGAGAGGGCTGCTGGAAACGTGGCCCTAGGGTGATGATACCCTAGGGTTTCATCTGGAACCTTTATGTGGACCGTTGGATCAAAGCCATATCCAACGGTCATGAGGAGCTGGCGGCTGCTGGTGATGATACAAACCCTAAATTGGGTTTAGGGTTTAGCTGGGCCAGTTGGCTTCTGTTTGGGTTGGGCTTCCAGATCTGGGCCTCCGGGATTTGTAATTGGGTCATGTAATCTGGGCCTGTTTCTAATAATAATAATATTAATAATAAAAATATATAATAAATAATATAATAATAATAATATAAATAAAACCGGGACAAAAATTTAGTGTCTACAGTGATCATCAACAAAGTTTGCATCACCGTACCTAGAATAAACAACCATTAAGAAAATGAAATGCCACTTAGAATATAACCCCTTAACAATTTCAAGAAGTTAGATAAACAACCATTAAGAAAATGAAATGCCACTTAGAATATAACCCCTTAACAATTTCAAGAAGTTTGTAACATCATATATAGGAAATAAGCTTAGAGAGTCGTGTTCATACAGCTTGGCACATTTGTAGTCAGGAACCTTGAAGTAAGTCCTCGTCGATCCCAGACGCATTGTTCCTCCCATATGAGTTTTCGATCCCTGTGAAAAAATCACACATACAATTCACTTAATGGGACAAGACATATATATTTTTTCAAATGTAATATGTTTACAAACCTCTGGCATAAATATGACCCAAGGATTTGATGTTTGAGGATCAAACTCTTCAGTATTCGCATCATACAAACCATGAACTGAACGTGCATACTCTATGACAGCTATTTGCATCCCAAGGCAGATGCCCAGGAAAGAAACTTTGTTTTCACGAGCATACTTTGCAGCATGAATTTTCCCTTGCACTCCCCTATCACCAAAGCCTCCAGGAACTAGGATACCATCAACATCCTACATTAAAAGAACTTTTAGAGTTTCTTTCGGAGGAAATAGCTCAAGAGAAACTGAAGGATATAAACACAAATGAAAAATCAATCGACGTAAACAATTGTGGTGTGGAAAAACCTTCAAACGACTCTACGCTACTTTGTAAGTTTCAGGATCCTGTAAGGTGTAAATTATAGACATTGTGAGCATACAAGTACTACAAAAAATAAAAGTGCGGGGGAAATATATTATTTAGTGACAAAAATTTCAATTAAAAATCCATGAAAATAACTGCGATAAAAAATTACAATTAAAACTGACCTCTTTAGCAGTAATGTCTTCAAGATGACTCGCTTCAACCTACTATACAATATGCTTTTTTAGCTTCATACACATGAGCTACGATCTACTGTACACAAGAGAAAAAACAAATTAGCATCAAGATATACACCAACAACGTTGAGAACAGGAACAAGGCTGACATGAACCAAACAGAAATTGCAAGGGCCTAAGACAAGAAACACAAAAAAATGAAAATATAATCATGCCAGAAGAACATTTAAAAGAAAATTAGCATAAGCCAATTACATAAGTAAGGACAACATAATATTCTTATCTACACGGTAAGAGAATTGCCCAAGTGCCTTAATAAATGGCATATATTCAATGTCCCAGGCCTGGATCCAGAAGAGATACAATTAAGAAAAAAAAGGGACATTGTACCCGCATCAGTATTGAGATAAGGATCTGCAAATTATATCATAACAAAAATATTTGTTCCATAATCGAAAGCATTGGGATAATGGGATTTCAAAGAAGAACAAGGAGAAGAAGTACCAATCTTAATGGAAGTGACACGAAAGCCGCAAGATTTAAGAAGAAGACTGATACTGCTAGCGGTAACCTATGTTGTACTGATAAGGATATGGGGACGGATACAGGGACGGCTATTTTTAAAATTACTGGGTACGGGGACGACAAAGGTACGACATATAAAATAATTTTAAAATTATAAATATATATATAAAATCATAAAAAAATCAATATCAAGACTCAAATCACAATATTAAGTTTAGAACAGTAAAATCCATAAACAAACCACAATATTAAAACGTCAAATTTCAAGATTCAAACTATAATATTAACTCTAGAATAATAAAATTCATAATCAAATCATAATATTAAAGTGTTAAATCTTAAAACTCAAAACATAATATTAAGTCTAGAAATGGGACTCCTTTGTCATCCTCGTGTTTCATAGTTAAGAGATACGAGTAAAAATGAAGTCATAGGTACTTACATAGACTTAATGTGAGCTAGGTTTCCAAGCTCAGGTGCTAATGTTCCTTCAAGATAAAGATCTTTCAAGTTTTTGCATTTCAATCCCATCCATCAACTTTGTCCCATTCTTTTCTTAGTAAACCAAACACGAAAAGGAAAAGAAATACTTACAAAACAACAACTTTGCCATCATCAGAGCATTGGACACCAAACCAGGAACAATAGTCAACTTCTCCATCTTCTTTCTTCCAATCCCACAAAGCACCAAATGGATCATTCACCACTTTCTCTTTCAGTCTCAACAAAGCCAACCCTGCATCCATCAACATAACATCTTTTTTTCCACCATTTTCTCAAGAAACAAAAAAAAAACCCAGAACTTAAAAAGAAAAAAAGAAGAGCAAGAAGAAGAAGAAGAAAAGTTACTATCCTCACTCAACGACCAGCAACCCAAAGTTTGACATAGGAAAAACATCACGATAACAAATCAAAATTACCCCTAGGGACGTCCCCAAAATGTCCCCAAATAAGCTCTGATCATCCCCAAATTCAATCAGTTATACCCTGCCATCGTGGCATGTCCCAAGTACGTACCCCAGCTGTCCCTGTACTATCCCCATTCTGAAAACATATTGGGTACTTGAAATGGGGCTTCTTTGTCGTCCCCGTGCTTCATAGGTGGTAACCCCTTTTCCCAGACCACTAACACCACCACCAGTAACAAGTACGTACTTCATTTTTCACTCCTGATTCTGCCTTCTTTGAAACTAAATGGAAATGTAAAAGGAAAGGAGCAAAGTGAGTCGTTATTTATAGCAGTGAGAAATAAGCAGCAAAGCAAAGGGTGACCTTGCAGTGATAAAACCAAAGTCCAAAGCAGAACCCAAAGCCACGAAATCAAAATTAAAAGAACAACGATTGGTGACGGTGTTTACGATAAATTTCGCAGAATGAAAAATGAGGATTTGAAAGTTGGGGGAAATGTAGATAAGGGAATCAAAATCAAAGATAGCGTAAAAACAACAGTAAAGCATATGGGTTTGGGTAAATGACGGGATTCAAAAATAGGTGAAGGAGAAAAAATGAAAAAGGGTTAAAGGGCGCGCGACTTAAAATTTGTAAACTTGCAGCATTTGTAAACACAAACTCCACTAAAGTACAAATCTATAATGACATATGTATATAAATGCCACTAAAGTACAAGTGTATAGTGGCATTTGTATAAAAACGACACTAAAGTACAAGTTTATAGTGGCGTTTGTAAATAAATGCCACTAAAGTACAAGTCTATAGCGGCTTTTATATACAAACGCCACTAAAGTAAGAGTCTATAGCGGCGTTTGTATAAAAATGCCACTAAAGTATGAGCCTATAGCGGCGTTTGTAAACACAAATGCCACTAAAGTACGAGTCTATAGCGGCATTTGTATAAAAACGCCACTAAAGTACTACTCTGTTGCGGCATTTGTTGGGAAAACGCCACTATGGATGAACCTATTGCGGCATTTGTATAAAAACGCTGCTAAAGTACTATTCTATCTCAACGTTTTACAAAAAACACCGTTAAAGTTACCATTTTGTGGCGTTTGCTATGTACACGCCGCTATATGTTTAAAATTAGTGCCGTTTACTTCCAAAACGCCGTTGTATAACAATTTTGTTGTAGTGAGATCTGGGTATTTCTTAGTTTTCTTTTATCTGCTTTAAATGTGAAAAAAAATCATAGTTTGGGTTCATCTGCTTATGGACTTGATCTATATCTCTCTTTTTTCTGTTTTATGATGAATGGGAAAGGATCATTCCTTTTTTTTTCGTTTTACATATTCAAAGTTGTAATTTTATTTACCTGCCTCGGATCTGGTAATTAAGGCTGATCTTGTTGATATAAATCATAAACTTATGGATAATATTTTCTCTGTTGGTTGAACTCTAATTGCACACATTGACATGGTAGTTAATTGAGGTGATAGAGTAAATGTGAAGATAAATTGCAGTTCAGTTTGATGAGGTGATATGATTTTATTGCATTTGATGGCATGACCAACTTATGTTTTGGAGGGGTACGAACTTCTAAAATTTTTGAGAGGAGCAATCTTATAAAATTCTAAGAAAATATATTATCATTAGAAAATTAAAAATATATATCTAAAATATATGATAATTTAAAATTTTCAGGGTCAAACATCTCCCTCGATTCATCCCGATTGTGGTCAGATTTTTTTTAAGGTTGCTTTTTTATTCTTATTTATATAGAATTAGATACAGACATTTTGTGGAATCTTATGTAAAGGTGGAATTTTGGTGACTCAGTTTGCTTGTGTGTTTGTATTGATATGGTTTTTGGCTTTTCTTTCATGCTTATTTTGGGTTTGATCATAATTCTATCTTTACTTCCCACGTATTTGTTTATGCAAGTTGGGCTGATTTTTATGTTTTGCCTACTGAGATTAGTTTCCTTGCTTTTTGGTAGAATTGGTTTGAGAATGGCTACTTATATCCCCAAGAACATCCTCATAACCGGGGCTGCTGGTTTTATTGCATCCCATGTGGCTAATGGCTAATTTCGAACTACCCCGGTTACAAGATTGGTGTGCTTGACAAGCTTCACTACTGCTCGAACCTGAAAAACCTCCTTCCCTCCCAGTCATCCCCAAACTTCAAGTTTGTGAAAGGGGACATCAGCAATGCCGACCTTGTTAAATACCTCCTGGTCACCGAGTCTATCGAGACGATAATGCATTTCGCGGCCCAAACTCATGTCGACAACTCGTTCGGCAACAGCTTCGAGTTCACCAAGAACAATATCTATGGTACACATGTCTTACTTGAAGCCTGCAAAGTCACTGGCCAGATCATGAGGTTCATCCATGTGAGCACAGATGAAGTTTACGGGGAGACAGATGAGGATGCGGTGGGTTTTAAATAGCGGGACGCAAACGCTATAGCGGCCTCTATTTCACGGTTGCGCCACCATCCGAAACCGCTATTGATGAATTTAGCGGTGGGTACCGGATTTACATTGATAGCGGTCTATTGCGCCCGCAATTTAACAGGTAACGGTGACAAACGCCGATCACAGAACGCTATAGGCGTTATTCTAACGTTACTGTTTTACCTATTTTGTGGGTCTCGTTGAAGTGAAAATTGTTGGAATCCTAAACTTTAGGTGTTTAAGTCTCTCTTATACGCTAGAACAAGTCATGGTTTTGGAGATCTCAAAACCTTAAGAGTAAGGTAGGAAGAAACTAGGGACACAACATAGAACTCCATAGAGAAGAAAATTAGAGAGATTCTAGATTATTTTTCTAAGTTATTAAAGTATATGTTGATTTTTCAATTAAAAGAAATTAGACTACATGGGTCGATCCACACACACTAAGGTCGTTTCTCATTTTTTTTTATTTTTTTAAAGTAAGTTTTAAAATATATTTTAAGGGATTTATTAATTTGCTACCCCTCCCATTTTTTAGAATTTATAATTTAATCCTTAGTTTAGAATGTAATTTAGTTTAGTCCTAATTTTAGTAATTTAAACAATCATGTATTTACAATGTTATCATTAATTAATTATCTTATCCAGGATTTTTAAAGTCTTCTATTTGGTTAAACTATATATTATATATGTGTGTGTGAATTTTTCTTATAAAATATTCTAAAAATCATTAAAAAATGATTCCTTATGACTATAATTATAATTATTATGTTTTAGGATAAGTTGTGCGAAATTTAAAATAATTCACGACCGCGGCACCCTTAGTGACCGCGATGACATCCGTTATATCTGCAACCGTGATAAATGCGACGCTACCGAAAATGCGGCCGCGAACGCTATTTAAATCCCTGGATGCGGTTGTGGGGAACCATGAGTCGTCCCAACTTCTCCCGACAAACCCGTAGTCCTAGACGAAAGCCGGTGGTGAAATGCTTGTAATGGCATATGGTAGGTCCTATGGATTACCGGTGATTACAACCCGTGGAAACAATGTTTATGGTCTCAACCAGTTCCCTGAAAAACTAATTCCAAAGTTCATCCTCTTAGCAATGTGGGGGGGAGACTTCCGATTCATTGTGATGGTTAGAATGTGAGATGTTATTTATATTGTGAGGATGTGGCTGAGGCATTCATTCTTCACAAAGGGTGAAGTTGGCCATGTTTATAATATTGGAACCAAGAAGGAAAGGAGAGTGATAGATGTAGCCAAAGATATATGCGAACTTTTCTCGATGGATCCAGAGACATGCATCAAGTTCGTTGATAACAGGCCATTCAATGACCAGAGGTATTTTCTTGATGATCAGAAACTGAAGGTCTTGGGATGGTCCGAGCGAACTCTATGTGAAGAGGGCTTGAAGAAGACGATCGAATGGTACACCAAAAATCCCCACTGGTGGGGCGATGTGTCCGGCGCATTGCTTCCACGTCCATGAATGCTGATGATGCCCGGTGGTCGACACGTTGATTCGGAAGATGGAAAGCTTACGAGTGATCCAATGACTCCCCGAATGATAGTTCCAACCGTCAAAAAAATGGCCTTGAAGTTCTTGATCTAAGGTAGGACTGGTTGGATTGCAGATTTGCTTGGTAAATTATGTGAGAAACAAGGTATTCCCTATGAATATGGAAGATGGCGTTTGGAAGATCGATCATCACTTGTGTCGGATATTCAAAACATAAGGCCAAGCCATGTTTTCAATGCTGCTGGAGTGACTGGTAGACCCAATGTTGATTGGTGTGAGTCTCACAAAACTGAGACAATTCGGACCAACGTGGCTGGGACCTTGAACTTAGGATGTTTGCAGACAACATGGGCTTTTGATGATGAACTTCGCTACTGAGTGCATATTCGAGTAAGATGCTGCACATCCTCAAGGCTCATGGATTCGCTTTAAAGAGGAGGATAAACCCAATTTCACCGGTTCCTTCTATTCGAAAACCAAGGCTATGGTAACTACTAATACGATATACAACTCTTTTTTTAATAGTCTGAAATAATTACAAAATAATATTTTTTATAAATATTTTTAGTTATTAACAACACACAACATACAAACATAGCTACTCAAACCTAGATCATCTAGAGAAAATAACACTCATTTTTACTAATGAAACCAGTCAATGGATTCTCTTCGAAAACCAAGGCTATGGAGACTACTAATATGATATACAACTATTTTTTGAATAGTATAAGAAATTATAAGGTAATAGCTATTCATAATTTTTTTGAGTCATTGACAACACACCCTACAGACAGTTGCTCAAACACGAATTCTCTAGAGAAAACAACACTTATTTTAGTAATAAGACCAGTTAATGGATTCTATTTGAAAACAATGGCTATGGTAGCTACTAACATGGTATACAATTTTTTTTTTGAATAATATGGGGTAGTTACAAGATGTTCAAAATCATTATGAACTATTGAAAATGTACATACATCTTGCTAATGTAAATGTTTAAACTTGAATCCTCTAAAGAGAACAATAATTCTTTTTACTAGTGAGACCACTTAAAGAATTTTATGATATACACTTGTATGCTAGTTTGTCTTTGAGTTCGTATAATTTCCTCCCATCTTATCTAGGTTGAAAATATGTTGAAAGAATATGACAATATGTGCACCCTCAGAGTTCGAATGCCTATCTCATTCGATCAAACAACCCACGCAAGTTCATCACCAAAATTTCACGCTACAGGTCAATACCACCCAACAGCATGACAATCTTGGACGAACTTCT